CACTGGCCAAAGGGCAGACCCCTGTGGGAAAACCCCGCTTGGGCACAGTGCCCCCTCGACACCCCCAGTACGTACCATTACCGCTTAAATTCCTTGATCCCTTTTTTGTGCCTTCCCTGTTTCCTGCTTTGGTCCTCCAGTTTTTTGCACTAATCTCTTTTGGGGGAACTGTGTTTAAAAGCCTTCCCCGCAGTTTCCCAAAAAAATGCAATCCACCCACCCCCCCCCCCTCCTTTTTGTCACCATGTCATGTGTGTGTGTGTGTGTGTGTGTTTTGTTGTGTGTGTGGTGTGTGTGTGGGGGTGGTGTGGGGTTGGGGGTGTGTGTGTGTGTGTGTGTGTGTTTTGCGCGTGTGGGGTGTACATGCCGAAAAGCCCCAAAACCCCTGAAAAGGAACCCCAGTAGGGGTCGAAATAGACAGACCAATTAATTTTTTCGGAATTTCGTCCCATAGTTTTTTATTATTGAAACTTGACCTATCAAAAAAACTACTATTTTACACACAACACACACATAAGCTTTTCTTTTAAAAAAACCGGGGGCCTATCGCCCAAGGCAAGGGGGGCCCAAAAGAAAAACCCAAAGTTTCTCTTTTTAAATTTAGTAATTTATACAGGAGAAGGGGTTACTAGCCCCTTGCTCCCGGCATTTTAGTCGCCTCATACAACACGCATGGCTTACAGAGGAAGAATTCTGTTTCACTTCCCCATGGAGATAAGAGGAAATAAACAAGAACAAGAACTAGAAAGAAAAATAGAAGAAAACTCAGAGGGGTGTGTATATATATGCTTGTACATGTATGTGTAGTGTGACCTAAGTGTAAGTAGAAGTAGCAAGACGTACCTGAAATCTTGCATGTTTGTGAGACAGAAAAAAGACACCAGCAATCCTACCATCATGTAAAACAATTACAGGTTTCCGTTTTACACTCACTTGGCAGGACGGTAGTACCTCCCTGGGTGGTTGCTGTCTACCAACCTACTACCTACTAAACACACACACACACATATGTAATATATATATATATATATATATTTTATTTATATATATATATTTAATATATATATATATTATATATATATATATATATATATTTGAACAAGCTGGCCGTCTCCCACCGAGGCAAGGTGACCAAAGAAAGAGAGAAACACTTTCACTATCTTCCACACATAATCACTGTCGTTGTAGAGGAACGAAGATATGGCAATTCAGATGTCATTCCAAACATCAAATATCCCAAACCCCTCCTTTAAAGTGCAGGCATTATGCTTCCCACCTCCAGGACTCACGTCCGGCTAACAGGTTTCTCTGAATCCCTTTACAAAATATTACCCTGCTCACACTCCAACAGCTCGTCAGGCCCCAAAAGCCATTTGTCTCCTTTCACTCCTGTCTAACATGCTCACACATGTCTACTGTATGCCCAAGCCCCTTACACACAAAACTTCTTTTACCCCTTCCCTCCATCATTTCCTAGGACGACCCATGCGCCTCCTTCCCTCCACTACAGATTTATACACCTTCCAAGTCATCCTAATTTTCTTCCTTCTCTCTAAATAATCAAACCACCTCAACAACTCCTCAGCCCTCTGAATAATACTTTTAGTAACTCCACACCTCCTCCTAATTTCCACACTACGAATTCTCTGCATAATATTTACACCACACATTGCCCTTAAACACGATAGCTCTACTGCCTCCAGCCTCCTTCTAGCTGCAGAATTTACAATCCATGCTTCACATCCATATAAGTGTACTGTACCATTATACTTTAATACATTTCCTTTCTGTGCCTCCTTGGTTAATATTCTTTGTCACCACAAATACCTCAATGCACTACCCACCTTCTTTCCTTCGTCAGTTTCATGGTTTACCTCGTCCTTCACAAACCCATCCGATGACAAGTCTGCTTCCATATATCTGAATACATTCACTTCCATACTCCCTCCCTCCAATGTGATATCCAAATTTTTTTTACTTAACTCGTCCGATACACTCATCACCTTATTCTTATTTTTGTTCACTTTTAACTTTCCTCCTTTACACACCCTCCCAAACTCGTCCACTAACCTTTGCAACTTCTCTTTAGAATCTCCCAAAAGCAGAGTATCATCAGCAAAAGGTAACTGTGTTAATTCTCATTTTGTATTTGATTCCCCATAATTTAATACAACCCCTCTCCCCAACACCCTAGCATTTACTGCTTTAACAACACCATTCATAAATATGTTAAACAACCATGGTGACAACACATCCCTGTTCAAGACCTACTTTTACTGGGAAGTAGTCTCCCTCTCTCATACACACCCTAACCTGAGCCTCACTATCCCCATAAAAACCTTTTACAGCATTTAGTAATTTACCACGTATTCCATACACTTCCAACATCTGCCACATTGCTCCCCTATCTACCCTAACATAAGCCTTTTATAAATCCATAAATGCAATGAAAACATCCCTACCTTCATCTAAATATTGCCCGGTGGCCTGGTGGCTAAAGCTCCCGCTTCACACACGGAGGGCCCGGGTTCGATTCCCGGCGGGTAGAAACATTCCGACACGTTTCCTTACACCTGTTGTCCTGTTCACCTAGCAGCAAATAGGTACCTGGGTGATAGTCGACTGGTGTGGGTCGCATCCTGGGGGACAAGACTGAGGACCCCAATGGAAATAAGTTAGATAGTCCTCGATGACGCACTGACTTTCTTGGGTTATCCTGGGTGGCTAACCCTCCGGGGTTAAAAATCCGAACGAAATCTCTCTTCAATGTAAACACTTGGTACATACATCCCCTACCCATTCTAAAGCTCCTTTTTCATCTGCAATCCTGCTCTTTGTCATTCAATAATAACCCGACCACACACTTCACCTGATATACTCAGTAAACTTATTCCCTCATTTACAATCTCTTCTATACTCCTCCCTGCTTTTAATATTTCTATCATGATTCCATTAGCTCCAGTTGCTTTACCTACTTTCATTTTACCCAATGCCTCACGCACCTCCTCCACACTCACATCCGGCTCTTCTTCACTTCTAAAAGATATTATACCTCCCTGGCCAATGCATGAAATTACTGCATCCTTCTCTTTATCAACGTTTAAAATTAAGAGTTCCTCAAAATATTCCCGATATATACTCCACCCTTCTTATATCTCTTCTGTTTTGTAAAAACCTCTCATAAGCGACGTTTTTCTCTTATATCACACCCTTCAACTCATCATTCCACCAATCATTCCTCTTTCCTCCTGCACCCACCCTCCTACTGCCACAAACTTCTGCCCCACATTCTAACACTGCATTTCTGAAACTGTCCCACACCTCTTCAACCCCCCCCCCCCACTACTCATACTCTCACTAGCCCATCTTTCTCCCAATAGTTGCTTATATCTCACTCTTATTTCCTCTTCCTTTAGTTTATAAACTATCACCTTTCTTTTACTTGTTGCTGCCATTTTCCTTTTGCCCTATCTACCTCTTACGCTAACTGTAGCTACAGCTAAAAAAAAATGATCCGATATATCTGTTGCCCCTCTGAAGTCTAACCATCAACCTAATCTAATAAACTACTTTCATAACGTGCTATACCACATCTCGTATATTTATCCTCCTTTTCTTAAAAACTGTATTACTTATTACCAAACGTTTTTCTATATATAGTTCAATTAAATGCCCCTTTTTTCATTTACTTATGGTACACCAAACTTGCTTACTACTCCCTCCACAACAGTTTTGCCCTCTTCAGCATTTAGGTGTCCCACCACAAGTACTCTCTCACTTGGCTCAAAACTCCCCACGCACTCATTCAACATTTCCCAAATTCTCTCTCTCTCTCTCTCTCTCCTCTACACTTCTCTCTTCTCCAGATGCAGAAACACTTACTATAACCCACTTTTCACATCCAAACCTTATTTTGCTCCATATAATCCTTGAATTTATACATTTATATAACCTCCTTATCTGCCATATCTGATCCTTCAATATTATAGCCACTCCTTCCTTAGCTCTAACTCACTTAGAAAACCCTGAATTAATCCCATTTGTTTACACTTAGAGCCAGGACATCCAGCTTCTTTTCATTCATAACATCCACAATCATCTCTCGCTTATCATCCGTACTGTATCGACGCACATGTAAAACAAATACAGGTTTCTGTCCTACTCATTTGGCAGGATAGTATACCTGTCTCGGTGGGAGATGGCCAGCGTGTTGTATATAATATATATATATATAATAATTATATATTATATATATATTATAATATATATATATATATATATATATATATATATATATTATATCGTGCCGAATAGGTTAAAACTTGCGATTTTGGCTTAAACAGCAAAGCTCTTCTTGCCGAAGAAGGCAAGCGAAAATTTGCGTATGCAATAATGTCGCAAAAATCATTCTGAACCTAACGAAAATAATATATTTCATTGTGTTTGTTTATTATTCACTTACTGTAAACTTATCTAAAATATATTTAGGTGGATTATGCTAAATTAAATGGCGCTTATTAAAATAAGGTTAAGCAAATTTTCTAAGGTTCTTTGTAAACAAAATAATTAAATTTAACATTAACATAAATGAAAAAAATATGTATATCTTTAGACGTATAAGAGAAAATTTTAGAAAGAACTTAATTTTAAATGATTTCTTGCTAATTTACCAATTTACCTATTCGGCACGACATTTATATATATATTATATATATATATATATATTATAATATATATATATATATAATATAAAATATTATATATATATATATATTACAATTATGTACATAGTTCTACTCATATTGTTGAGAAATTAGTCAAGAGAAGAAATGCTAAAGAAAGCATTCATTAGTGATACGCATATTTCAGTTTGTATATCATTACAGTGTATGCTTACATTTATTTTTTAATAATTGCAAAACAAATTCAAAAAGAGCAAAATGAATGTTATTGAACTCGTATCTAATGATAAAATGCTTTAATTTGCATTTATAATTTACCTTAGTAGCTGAGAGAATTACCTGTATGGTCTTGACTCCCTCGTTCTTGGTGGAGCGCCAGTTAAGGACCCACACCTGGTCCAAGTTGGGTACATACGACAGGTCCACTGGATACTGGTCTGTCACGATCACCTGCAGAGAATCCACCACTCCTTGAGTACTCACCTGAAAAACTTGCTTGTACTCTGGAGTCAGAATGTTCATTTACATTTTCATTATAGTTTTATCTGTTTACAAAATTATTCCTAAATATATTAAAAAAATAACTAGTATGATTTATTGCTTAAATGTCTTCAACATATATGAGGAAACTTAAGTAAATTTAGAGTTACTCTTTATATTAACAATAATTTTTTTTTCGCATATGTTGCGACTCAGGAAGATAAAAATATACACAGATATGTTTGTCTATTAGCAGTTGAGTATTAACTTGTATTGTGATGATAAGCTGGTGACTCGTTCACTACAATGAATATTGGAAGCTAAAGCCTCCGTGCGTTAAGCACGAGACAAGCTTTACCTAGTTGCACTCACCTAGTTTCCCACAAAGACAGAGAAAAATAACATAGGAGATCAAGACTCACATCGACGACAACCATCTGAGGGACGGAGACAACCAGCACCCGGTCCCTCCTGGGCTGTGTCACATAGATGTACCTCTCAGCTACGTTGATCGCTCGTCCCCACGAACAGTTAGTACCTGTCCACCATGGAATACATGTTATAACATCTGATACTTTTACATAAATGCATGTAAGTAAACATTAAATTAGGTAATACTCTAACAAACGCGAGATATATATATATATTATATATATATATTATAATATATATATATATATATATTATATTATAATATATATAATAATATATAATATATATATATATATATATATATATATATATTATATATATTATATATATTTTAATATTATATATATCAAATATATACAGTGATACTTCCACTTGCGATTTTGGCTTAAACTGCAACGCTCTTCTTGCCGAATAAGGCAAGCGAAAATTTGTGTGTGCAGTAATTTCGAAAAAATATCATTGTGCATTGTTGCAAGAGTAGCAACAGGAGAAATGAGGGGAAGTTTCTCAGAGAATGACAGTGTGGGTGACACCCACTCCAGCCTCTCTCAAGCTATGGGAGCCGCTGGCCGACTGACCCCCCCCCTCCCCCGCCTCCTCCATGACCCACACCACATGAAGTAGAGTAAATGAGGGTCTCCAAGTTAACAGAGAGCAGGATGTAGGTAACCAGAAGGTTTAATAGCCAGCCCTAAACTTCTAATCGTTTAGAACAGGTTATGTGACATAAGAGGTTACGCTACAATAGTGGATAATATACATACAGAATGCTACTATTATGTATATTCTTCTAATTAATGAGAAGAAATGAATGCGCTCACCTGTCAACTTAAAATACTGCGTGTCCCGGGAACTTCTCGAATGTTCTAATGCATACTTGGAGGGATCTCAGCATGTATTCCTAAGTACTGCCTACCATTGTTCTCAGTATTGATTATTATGCCTGATTATGAATCTTTACAATATTCCGATTATTCTTTACGATTAAGGTCTTACTGTTTTTTTTAACCAGCCAAACTAGTAGAAATCACCATGTGCAATCAACCATGTGTACCTTTATACAGCTACAGCTATACCTAGATGAAATAAGTCGCTCTGTCTCTTATTTGGGCTGTCTTTGGTTATCCACATATGCGCTTCCATGTATAATACCTAGATGGGTTTAAGACCTCAATGGAAATGAGTCACTCTGCCTAGGTTTGTGTCTATCCCAGGACATCCACACCTGCGCTGCCATGCATGACAAATTATGCTACTGCGTCCTTGCACACCCATACCTGACTGAACCGACTTGTCTACTTAATACTGTTTGTATATGATATCGATCATGATAACGTCAGTGACTGCAACCATTTAGCCTCGTTAACCTGAAACTGTATGATACCTATATGCAGTAGTAGTTCACGACGGAAGTAACATGATGTAAAATATTTTGTCGGCATTCATGTCGGATGTAACTTGATGTTATATCTATTTTTTCGACGTTCACAATGGATGTATCATGATGTTATTTAATATATTTTGTCGACGTTCACCACGTAACATGATGTTATATATTATACTTTGCGACGTTCACGACGGATATAACACGACGTTCGGTGCGCAAACTCTGGTCTCAAGTCACCAAAATATCACGAGACCTCATGGCATAATAAGCAATCCTTCGATTTTGTATAATATTGTTGTTTAAGGTTGTGCACAACAGATTCCACCAAATAGCTATCGAGTTTGTACAACCTATAATTTGAGCTATATACGTCATTCCTATCATATTTCAAGAGCGAGGATTCAATTATGCTTGTTTCCATGACATAACTGTTGGGTACAATGATCTGGACAGCAGCCCACCCTGGTGTCGTAAATGTCAATTTGCTCACACTCCAACAGCACGTCAAGTCATAAAAACAGTTTGCCTTCAATCATTCCTATCTGACACACTCACGTAAGCTTGCTGGAAGTCTAAGTCCTTCGCACGCAAAACCTCCTTTACTCCCTGCCTCCGACCTTCCCTAGGACGACCCCTACCCCTCCTTCCTTCTACTACAGATTTATACACCCTCCAAATCATTCTATATTTAGATTATACTTTTTGAAACCCACACCTCATTCTAGTCTCAAAGTTACGGCTTCTCTGCACACTGCTGTCAGACACGACATCTCTACTGTTTCCAGCCTTCTCCTTGTCGCAACATTCACCACCTAGTGCACCACTCACCTATTTCCAATAGTCATTTCTTTGGTTCACCTCGTCTTTTACGTTCCCTCACCACTCTCTTAACCATTCTTTTTTTCTCTCAGTATATTCCTCCCTCCTTACATCACTTCTACCTTGTTGAAATCTCTCTTTACTCCACCCTGACTCATTACCTATGCCATTGTGCAGACTTACTCCTTACCTTTGCTCCCATCATTACCCCTTTCACCGTAGGTATACTCATTGATCTCTGTCTTAGGCCTTACCTTTATCACCGCAGACATATTCTTGGGTGCCAGGAATGACATCAGTGCCTTGGATGACGTGGAACAGTCGGCATTCATCTGGTTCATACACTGCCACGCCCCAGTCGTGGAAGACGAACACTCTGCTCTCCTGCTGCTCCCCCGCTGCCAAACGATTATTATTATTATTATTATTATTATTATTATCAACATACCTGCCGTCGCCCACCGTGGCAGGGTGACTCGAAAGGGAAGAAAAGCATAAAGTTTCTCTTTTTTTATGTTTAGTAATTAATAATTTATGATTATTATTATTATAAATATTATTATTATTATTATTATTATAAACTATTTAACACAATAGTTTTTAATGTTCATTAGCAAAGGACAAGATAACATAATATATAAAAACTGAAACGAGTCAGTGAGTTAAAAACGTCAAGTAAAGATGTGAAAGTTAATAATAACTCAAAAGGGGGAATTTAAAATCAGTGCAGGAGATCAGCTTTGTATTAAAAGTCATAAATAAACTGTAAAATAAACGTGGGTCTTCAAAGAGGAGGGAAGGGAAACATGTCCAGCAGTTGAAGAATGATAAATATTTCTGTATTAATGTTGGTAGAATTACCGACAGTATGTTAAGTAAAAGAACACAAGTGCAACTAATGTGACATTTTATTGTGGCGCATAAGCTGCACTTGTGTCCTATTACTTAACAAAAAGATTTCTGCGTATTTCCCATGAGACGGCAATTGTAGAGTCAGATGTAAACAACGTGCAGTCACCAGAGTGCTATTCATCCCAGCAGACAATGATTAAGTAAAAGTTGCTATAAAATCAGTTTCAGTTTGATTTACAACACCTTGTTGGTCAACACTTCAGGCCAACAATTTTGCAGTAAGAAAGTGATGAACTTGGAATAATAAAACAAGTAGATTATTATCATTATAATAAAAAAGAAGCGCTAAATCACAAGGGCTATATAGCATAAAATAAGTAGAGCTCTGCTGTACCATACTGAAAAAAAAAAACGAAACGGTATGAAATGATTTTATGAAATTCACTCATATCACTAAAAAAAAATGAGCTATAAGAGAGAACGCGACTTTATGCAACTATTACACCAATTGTTCCATTACGGGAGAAATAACATTTAAATTATACTATACTGTATTTGTACGTTTATATTCATATTAAGCGCTGAGCCCGCGTGCATCATTCAGTTGAAGGTGTGTTTGGAGGCATGATCCTCCCGCTAAGCGCTAGACAGAAACTCTACTCTAGCAGCAAACCTTCCACTCCTTTATATTGATAACTGCTTGTGCAGTTGGCGGAGTGTTTTGGGCTGATATCCCTAAATCCTGGAAAACTGCTTTCATAAAATAGTTACGGAACTCTTAGAGGTATGATCAGAAATGTTCGCATTTTTTTCATATGGAGAAATGAAGAAATACTAAACTGAGGGTAAATACAGTAAGAATTGAAAGAGAATTGGAGATGTGTAATTGCTCTATTGGAAGTACTTCATCAACCTTATTGCTGTGGCTCTGTTAGAGATACATTGGTAAGTTGGAAAATGCCCTTGAGAATAAACTGACAGGAATGTGTGAGTTCTGGATTTAATGCTGAATTTTGGAAGACACGAAGTATTAATGAAGAAGATGCTTTCGAGGAGCAAAGATAGAGAAGTATTAGAGAAGCTGCTAAGATGTTAAGATGTGAGTGTAGTGATAGTAGTAGTAGCAACATTAGTAAAAGAAGCGTTGTATTATTACCCGTAGAGAAATGATTTATAAGTTGAGAAGTATTGTAGTAGTAATAGTTGGGAAGTGTTGCAGTAGTAATAGTTGGTAAGTGTTGCAGTAGTAATAGTTGGTAAGTGTTATGGGAGTAACGTTAAAGTATAAGAGGAGAAACAGTGGAACATTGTTTAGAGAGAAGATGTGAAGAAGTGCTTACATAGTGTATGGATATTTATCTTGAAGGAGCTGAGCCATAAGCAATAGGATCAAACCGGAGCAGTGTTATGTGTAATGCATCTTGCTAGTGCCCGGGTGTGGATGTGCCCCTTGAGGATAATAAATATGCTGGCAGGAGCGGCACGCCTTCATGTTGCTTTGCCATACCAGCAGAATCCCATCAGGATCCTACTGGGCGAGAGTGAGAGATAAATTCTGAGACGATACACATTAGACCAGCCTCCGAGCTAACATTTCCAGAGTTGTTGTTACCGTATATCCACCACTAACAGCACTCAGGGGGGCTTGTTTATTTCAATTTATTTTGTGCGAGCTGCCATTAGTGCATGTCGGTAGGGTGACAGGTGAATTATTGTCTCTGGAAATTGTGTTTTCTTTTAACTTTGTATTCAAATTTTTTTTTATTAGCGTTGAAATGTATCACGTTCACTATACTATTTTAAGGTTAGTTGGTTGTTTGGTTAGGTATAAAGTCTGTTGACTTCGTAAATAAATTTACGGTTGCATTTTACCTTTGTACTACCAATCGAAAATACATTAACCATAAAATATAGTTCTAATATCTTATAAATGTTTTGTAGATATTAGCTACTGCTTTCAACGAGAGAAATACTCAATAATGGAAATAAATGGTATAAAATACCGACACAATGGAAATATAAACACATATGCAGTATAATGTGATCCTTTATTGACAACGTTTCGCCCACACAGTGGACTTTATCAAGTCACAAACAGAACTACCTGGGTGAAACATACGTGAGTATTTATAGGATGAAAATGGTGGGTCAGGTGGAGAAAGCTGCATGTGACAATCTTTCTCCACCTGACCCAGCATTCTCATCCTATAAATACTCGAGTGTGTTTCACCCAGGTAGATCTATTTGTGACTTAATAAAGCCCACTGTGTAGGCGAAACGTTGTCAATAAAGGATCATATTATACTGTATATGCGTCTATATTTCCAATACTCAATAATGTTGAGTATCTCGCTATCTAGTTTATTAAGGTGTCAAGACTCTCCACTGCATTTGAACTGTTTACTTTCAAAAGTTTAAATGTTATCTCTGTTTTAAGAATGAAAGTAGCCTTTACCTAATGAACTGTGTTAATTACCTAGAGTAGTCAAAGCCACTAAAGCAGACATTTGTCAAGTGCACTTTTTCATGTGTTGAAACTCTATCTGTCTGCCTGTCTCTCTCGCTCTCTTTCTGTCTCTGTCTGCCTGTCTGACACTCTCGCTCTCTGTCTCTGTCTGCCTGTCTGACACTCGCTCTCTGTCTCTCTGTCTGCCTGTCTGACACTCTCGCTCTCTGTCTTTCTGCCTGTCTGTCTCTTTCTCTCTCGCTCGCTCTCTGCCTTCCTCCCTGCCCCCTCCTCCTACATTAAATAGAACTTTGGGACAATTTCAATAGAGACATAAACATGTTTAAAAAATCAGTAAGGTATCCGAGAGACGTGAGTAACGTAAAGTGTGGATGATTCACGCATGAAGTAGCCATTGCAGAGAAGATATTAAAGGTGGAGGAGAGGTGGGATGGGGCGAGGTAGGGACGGAAGGAAGGAGCAGACAACTACCAGGTCAGGAAATCAGGAATGTAAATTAATTACCCCAGTAGGAAGAGACAAGGTGGGTAAAGTAAAAGTTTTTACACAATTACTCGTAGCAAATACAAAAAAAATGACGTTGCTTGCGTCCATATTATAACGGCTTTAAGTGAATCTTGGTTTAATGCAAACCAACCAGATATGAGAAATGGCCCTGATCGAATACAGTTTTTTTTATGAAGCTCATAAAAAGGTTTTGGAGTTACCAAAGTATGTTAGCAAAGAACTTCATGCTGTCGAAAGAAAAAAAAACAAGATGTACTACAATTTAATTCTCCATGTGTGGAAATCAGAGTCAATGGTAACAAAAAATTATAATCTCCGTTGATAAAAAAAAAAAACAATGAAACAATATGCTTTTGTATGACGAAATTAAGGAAACTTGTAGTATAGTCACAAAGAGGCAATATTAACTGGTTTGTTTAATGATCCTAACATATAACAGGAAAATCTACCAGTGGAACAAGAGGCAACCAGATTCGCTAGTTTGACTGAGGCACCGTCCTGACACAAGCTGACACACTGGCTATTTATAACAATACTATACTGAATCTTATTCTGACCACACTTTGTGACCTTATCCAACCACACAAGGTCAAAGAGACACTAGGAAACAATGACTACATCATTCAATTCTAAATGAGCACAAATATGAGACAAAAAATTACGAGCAGCTGACTTTGATCCTGTGTGCAAGGACATCATTAATGTAAACTGGACCGAACCACTAAATACAGATAACATAGAAGTAATGAGCACATTCATAACAAATAAAATAAACATGTAAAAACCATATAACAAAACCAGGCAGAACGATGAGGCAACTAGTGAGACAGCCAAAAATAAACGTTAATTATATGAGTTATTTGACCAGTAAACCCCAAAACCATACAAATTACTTTCGATTACAAAGCAAAAACTAAGAGAAAAATCACACCTGCTAAATAAGAAGTTGAAAAATGAGCTCTACAACATGACAAAAGTTAACCCAAAAAATTCTTCGTACACTGGGGGAGAAAAAAGTAAAAAAAACAACGAACGGTCCTTTAATTAGCGATAAGAACTACAACAGTAATATAAATCTTAATACTACAGCAACCTTTGGGTCTGAATTTACAGCTGAACGCGACACCGGTGTAATTATGGCTTGACTCTGACAGACTAATTATTAACAAAATTAGAAACCTTGACATTGTAAAATATTTGTAGAAGCTAAATATTTACAGTCAAGCAGACCAGACAAATTGCTTGTCAGAGTTACAAAATAACTTACGCAGTAACGGTAATAATTAACAAAATTAGCCATGTTGGTTTTCGTTATTGGATGTGAAGAGCGAAATGAAAACAGCATCGAGAAAAGAAGCCGGATCTTTATTTGTAATCCTCGCTGGACCGACAGTCTTTCAGAGGAACTATACCTTTTTGTACTTTTTTCGTGTTTTTTCATATTTAAAAAGTTCCTTAAGATGTATTTTGACACTATGAGCATTTTTTTCTATCTTTATCACCTTTACCATTTTATATAATGTTCTTATTCTCTGTATATGTGCAAACGTAGTACGATCCTCCGAGTTTACT